ACCCAAACCCTAAAGAGAGGAGATCTGATTATCTTGAGTTCCAGAATGCATCAAGTGTCCATTTATCTTGCTTTGGACTAGGCGAGTTCATCTCAAACTCTTGTTGTAGTTGTCTTTTTCATTTTCAAGCTTTTAGTAGCTTAAATGATAGATTTCGGGTTTGATGATATCATGCCAGATTTCTTCAAGATAACTTGGTATTAATGCTTAATTAAGTGTTTTAGAGCTTAATCCATGGTTTATATGAAGTTTTAATAGTTGAATTCCATGATTTGATTCTAGGGTTTGAAACCCTAGAAATGGAAATGATTAAGAAGGTGTTCATATGTTATAACATAGTAATGTTAAGTGTTTAATTGCTTAATTGGAGTAGTTTGACAAACATTTGAATAAAACATAGTCAAGTTAGGGTTTTTGTTAAATATATGAATTTTTGGCTACAATCACTAATAATGTCTTAATGGATTAAGGCATGTGCAAGAGGCTTAATGTATGTGGATGTCATTGGTGGTAGCAAGTAAGGATTTCAAGCCGCTCAAGATAAGCTTTGGAGAAGTTGGAAGTAGTTTGTTATTCCACAACAAAATGTGAGTTATACTTCTCTTTAGAGTATGATTATTTGATGTAGAACATGTACAAGCATTGGAATGTATCAATGTAATTATTGATTACATCATTGTTAGATTTTGTGATGCTAAATAACTTGTGTTATGTATTATGATATGTATGTATGCCTGCAGAGAGTTAGATTAAGGGATTCCTAAGAAAGATTGTGATTAGAGTTTTGCATGGAAGATACTTGGTTATTTATGTGACTAGTCATATATGTGTTGTATGGTTATATTGTATTACATTATTTATAAGTCATTAGACTTATTAGATTTTTAGTATGACAAATATTGTTTCCATTTGTTTATAAGTTCTAATAGCAAGATATAGAGTGTGAGGACTTAGAAGCAAGAACGACATCATACTAGACTTTTGTTTTATGTTTATCATTATTTGCTTTAATTATGGTTGGGATATGAAATGGTACCAGGTTGATGTTTTTTTTCGGAATACTTTTAAAAGATTTTTGGAACTTTAGTTTTTAGTATCATGTATGTAAACTCTTATATTTCCCAGAAAATTAATGTTAAAATGTTTATGAAAATTACGGGTCGTTACAAGTAATATTTATTTTTATTTTGGTGTATTATATTGATTTTATTTCATGTCATATTAATTACTTTTTAATATTATAAATATTACGTACGATTAAAAAACAACAAAATTAAATGAAGAGTTTTATAAATTATAATTCAAAAAGAGAATGGTAAATTAGTTAAATAAAAAAAGTTTTCAAAAGTGATCAGATGTAGAAGTTTAAGTTAATAACAATTTATTTGATATAATCGGTTGAATGATAAGGTTACAAACTAAGAATAAATAAATACATGAGGTTTATGATTAGAAATATCTTTAAAAAAAAAAAAAAAAAAAAATTAAACTTTAAATTTTATATATTTTAAATTTTTGAGGATGGGTTTTCAGATAAAGTTGTTTTGCAACTTAAAATATATTTCATAAATGACTGGTTTCGAAAATTTTGATTATTTAGTTTTTTTATATACAGATTATCAAAATGTTTAATGTAATTACAAAAATTGATATTTTTATAGTTCTCCAAAATAAATATAATATCAAGTTTTCATACCCATAAACTTGATAATTAGAATGGTTTCCTTAAAATTGAACTTATACTTTCATCAAATAGTGAATATTTGAAAAAATAAGATAAATTAATGTTATCAATATTTAAATATAAATGTTTGTCAATTACTCATTAAATACTTTTGTTAGAATGTGGCAAATGGTTTTGGGTTGTAATCGAAGTCATCGAAAGTAATGATGACAACGAACAGCATCCATCTGCCACAAATGTCATGTCTGTCATCCTAAGCAATCTGTACACCCAATTATCTTCTGCCATGTCGGCGGATAAAATCCCGTTTAGTATGGGGTGGCATGTACCTGAAAAAAGGTTAAATCTATGTCCTATCGCTTTTGTATGTGCCCACGATTGCCCATCATTTTTTTTAATCTTTTAACTTAGAAACATGAATTATATAATGTTTTTACCATTTTTTTTATTTTTACTTCCAGTTTATTTTTATCACAGAATATAAACAAATTATATTTTATCGATCTAGTTCCTTATTTGTGATCTAGTTCCTATGCTTTAGAATTGAACCTAGCCTAATTCCACAAATGTTGTAAGACCTTTAAGCATCCAAAAACACACCACCCATAAGTTTACGGCCGTAAACTTATGGGGATATGGTCTTTGGGCCGAAATCTCCATAAAGAGTTTACTCTTGAAGAGTAAACTCCCTAACTAGGTCATACACTCCCTTATTCCAACCCAATAACCTCCTAGCACATGATCAAAGTGTTTTCCGCACATTAGGATGCTTATACGTGTTTAATTAGTATTATAATCACTAATTGTATGTAAACATATGTCTTCATATGTTACTAGATCATTAAGTGTGTTCAAATCTTCACTTGACACCGAGCACTCGACCGACATTTCCATCCGATCCACTCGCCACAAGTGAGTTCATACCCCTGAATTAACCTTTTTAATGATTTTAACTGCTTTTATAGGAGGGAATACAAGTTGAACTGTACAGTTATCGATAAATCGCATGTGATTAATAACTGTATAGTAAACAAGACTTTTGCATGTTAAACTATTTTATCCAGATTAAGATTTTCAAATCACGTTTTCGAATCTCGTTAAAGTATAAATATCCCTTTTTAGATCATTAAAGGTTATCCAAAGTTTCCAAAGTTCGTTTACTAAAGAGAAATCCAGTCGTAATGTCGTATTAAAGGTTTTCCAAAGGTTTTCTTCATTTAAACTGTTTTATAAAAACCCTTTTCAAAGCAGTTTATGAAAGGTTTTTCAAAGGAATTCCAAAGGTTTTCAAAGCTTGTTTTACAAAATGACATCAAGTCGTAAATTACTTAAGTGTAAAGTTTTTTTTTTCAAAGGTTTTACCAAAGTTTTCTTCTATGCTTTTACTTCGTTAAATGCATGCCTATATTTGTATAATTATATAAATAATGTTTAAAGGACTTAGGAAGGCTAGTTCACCCGATTTCCTTTTCCTCGTTAGGATGTGGTTTGGTGGGTATAAGATATCTGCCCGAAGGTCGTTTAATCATTAATTATATATCATGTATACATATGTGGACATAAAAGCTCTCTCGCTCTCTCTCTCTCTCTCTTAACCACTTCATCCCTTTTGGGTATTAAAGGCATCTTTCTGTTATTCATGTTTTTGGAACCCTAGTAACTATTATAGGAATAGTTAGGAGACTCTACCTCTCTATCTCTCTCTCTCTCTCTATTTATCTCTATCTCTATCTCTCACTATATATATATATATATATATATATATATATATATATATATATATATATATATCTTATACTTTAGAATGTGACACACTATTTCCCTCTACGACGCCTCATAGCACCATCGCCATGTAACCAGAGTCTCCGGGAAGGAGAGCGAACATCATATGTATAGATCTACACGGGACTGACACTCCTACACCTAGACTACTAGCTACAGTCCGTGCCAGTAAGGCTCATGGGTGACATAATGCCACTACCTCTACGCGTGACCTGGAAGGTCATTGGATACACTATTATCGATCAGCATGGTTACATACGAGTTCAGATTCACTTCTTGTTTTAGACTTTGCTAGTTGTATCGTTCATTCGATACTGTTTGGATTCTGTGTTTCCTTGTGTTAGACTGAGCCAGGCGTATAATTCATACGATACTTTCCTGGAGTCTAAGTTTTCTTTTGTATTAGTTAGCACTATTACTGCTGAGTTATATATTATTTTCCCATGGTATTTCTACTTATGACTTCCTCATTATTCCTTTAAAGTCAATATTGTATTTTGGAAATGATAGTATTTTTGGGGAAAATTTCTCCTTAAAACGTAAACCCATCGGGTCTTGGTAAAAGACTTCCTTTATTTAGAAAATATAGGATTTTCTGGAAAGAACACTAATACACCGTACATTCTCGATTACTATTTTTCATAAGGTCATTCTGAATAAAGTGTAATTATACCAATGACGCTAAATACTTATGAACTCACCAACATTATAAAAATGTTGATATTTGCTTTCAAAATAACTTGTATTCTCAGGTCATCCATAGACAGGTACATCGTGGGAGCTTTTGCAAAGACAGCCTAGTACCAAGCTGCATCTTGTTATGTCTGTAATTACCTTGTTAATGCTATGAAATGTAACCTATGTAAAATTATTACTATTAATGCAATGGTTGTTTGTACTTTGACAACTGTATTGCATATGTTGTGATACTTGACATGACGTTATCCACCCCATAACGTTTCCGCCATTTCAGTTTTGGGGTGTGACAGTGGTGGAGGTTCAGAAAGGATCCAGGTTCTATTTGCGCCAAAGCAATCACAAGTATGCACAAACTACAGGGTAAACCGGATCATGTCTTTTCTCTAAAAACGTTAGCGGGAGTGTGGAACAACATAGCTTGCTCGCAAAAAGAACTAAATAAATTAGGGATATCGGTTGATATGGTGCTGGAAAAAAAATCCACTTCGAACGGTCAAACATGAACATTCCCATTAACTCAAGATGGTGAGTACAAGGTAAATGCTATGAGGAATAGACTCGACAAATCTGGCCCGATTGACATTAGGAGGTTCGAATGGCCAAAAGAAGTACATATCAAAGTCATAACGTATGGAGAACTAAACAGGGATATCAAAGTCACAAAAAGAACTGAATAAATTAGGGATATCGGTTGATATGGTGTTCGAAAAAAAAAAATCCACTCCGGACGGTCAAACATGGACATGCCCATTAACTCAAGATGGTGACTACAAGGTAAATGCTATGAGGAATAGACTTGGCACAAATCTGGCCCGATTGACATTAGGAGGTTCGAATGGCCAAAAGAAGTACATATCAAAGTCACAACGTATGGAGAGCTAAACAGGGACGTATACCAACATTGGTGGCCATCTCCAACAGGGGTATAACAGTAAACTCAATAATTTGTTCTCAATGCGGCAAAAAGGAGGAAACAGCGGATCATGTATTGGTTGAATGCACATTTGCTAAATCTGTGAGCAAATGGATCTTAATATGGTGTCAGGCACCCTTTACAAACCTTACGACAAGACATGATGTTATAGATTATGCGTTAAATTGGGGCAATTGCCCGAAAAAAAAAAGCGAAGAATATTGGGGATTTGTTATGGATACTTGTGGAGTATTTGGAAGACAAGAAATGACAGATTATTCAACAACAAGAGGATGCAACCAACAAAAGTGGCGGATATAATCATATCTACAATATATACGTGGGTCAAATACATGGGGAAGACAGAGGCGATTAGTTGGGCAGATTGGTATACTAACCCTTTTAGAGAGTTGTAGTTATCTTTTTTCGGTTTGTTTCTTTTACTTGTTGTATTCCTAGCTCCTTGCTAGGTTGTTTAACATGTTTTTCTTTAATATATGTCTCCTATTTGCTCCTATTTGCCGTTTTTTGAAAAAAAATAAAAGGTTATATTGTTTTCAATCACTAATTAAAGCATTTGTGTTTGTATCACGATTACTATTAATCAAAGTAATTTTAAATGAAAAAATTATTTTTATAACAAGCTGTCAAATATCTTCAATTTTTTAAATGTAATACTTTTATGATGTAGCACACGTTATCTTGGCTTGTGTTGTTTTAGTTTTAAGGTATAATACTATAATGTATAGTTAACAATTTCGAAACACGTCATGCAAAGTAAGATAACGTCTACAACATCTCTTCAAAATTATATTTAACAAGTTATAACTACTTTTTACATTTGTGGGGCAAAAGTGTTATCATTTTACTTTTCGTACTTTTGACAATTTCGAAAAACTTTTTATTTTAGTGCTAATAGCTTTTTGTTTGAATTGAGAATAAAAGTATTAGGTTTTGTAATTTCATGTGTGTTTTTTTTTTTTTTTTTTTTTTGGGATTTTTACAATTTCATTTATTATCTTTAAACAATTTGCCAAGTATTATCGTTACAATATTCATTTTTCTTATATCGTTACAAAAGTTATTTGATAGAATAGTTAATATTATGATATTGACTTTTATATATACGAAGCATTTTGTTTCCTTTGCCCAAAAAGTATTAGTGTCTGACAATCGTTTATCTATATCACATCAACGATATCTTTTCGGTGAAGACACCGGTGAATCTTTTTACAAACGTTTGAGCCCATCATAATAATAATAATAATAATAAGGGAATATGACTTATCAAGGTAATTAATTTTTCGGTATATTTACATCTGGGTAACTATTTTTTTTTTTTTTTGTACATATGTAGGTAACAAACTTTTTGGAAGTGTTCACATATGACCATTATGACCTGCTATAGCAGGTTAAATCCTAGATGTGAACTCTTTCAACAAGTTTGTTACCTAGATGTGTACAAAAAAAATAGTTACCCAAATATGAACAAAATGAAAATTAAAAATTAAATTACATGAATGGTCCCTGTGGTTTGGGGAATTTGTGGTTTTGGTCCCTAATTTATTTTTTTAACTTAAATGGTCCCTACTATTTATTTTTGTTGCGTGTTTGGTCCCCGTCTTACCTAAAAATACTATTGTGCCCTTATTAATATATTTTTTTAATTAATTTTCTTATCTATGTATTTATTTTATACATATTTAAAAAAATTAATAGACCACACATATTTGTATCTCCTCGGATGATCTCTACTGTTTATTTTTAATTATTTTTTTTTTAACTTGGATGATCGTTACTGTTTATTTTGTTACGCGTTTGGTCTCTGTCTTATCTAAAAATACTATTTTTCCCTTATTAATTTTTTAAATTAATTTTCTTATTTATGTATTTATTTTTTATAAAAAAATTAATATACCCCACATATATGTATCTTATCACCGTAAACCTGAAACCACATTTGAGAAATTTAATTTGAGTCTTACCATTCACCATCTCATCTCTGATCCTCCCCATCTTTATTTCTTTTTCATCTTTAGTAACATCAACGTCTTCACCGTCCTTTTTTTTTGGTACTTCAACTCTGGAGAACCAACACCATAACCTACTGTCTCTTCATATTTAGTGGGTTGTAGTGTTGTTTCGACGGAGTTGAAGGACCGAAAAAAGAAGTGATGATGAAGACGTCGATATCACTAAAGATGAAAAATAAATAGAAGTTGAGAATGATGAAAGATGGGATGGTGAGGAGATACAGATATGTGAGGTCTACTAATTTTTCTTAAACATATAAAGCATAAGTACATAAACAAGAAAATTAATTAAAAAAAATTAATAAGGGCACAATAGTCTTTTTAGATAAGACAGAGACCAAGTTCGTAACAAAATTAAGGGACCTTCCGAGTTAAAAAATTAAATTAATTAAAAAATAAATAGTAAGGATCATCCGAGGAGATACAAATATGTGTGGTATATTAATTTTTATAAATATGTAAAAAAAATAAACATAGATAAGAAAATTAATTAAAAATATAAATTAATAAGGGCACAATAGTATTTTTAGGTAAGATGGGGATCAAACGCGCAACAAAAATAAACAATAGGAACCATTTAAGTTTAAAAAAATAACTTAGAGACCAAAACCACAAATTCCCCCAAACTACAGGGACCATTCATGTAATTTAATTTTTACTTTTCGTTTTGGTCATATTTGGGTAACTATTTTTTTGTACACATCTAGGTAACAAACTTGTTGAAAGCGTTCACATTTAGGATTTAACCTGTTATAGCAGGTCATAATGGTCATATGTGAACACTCCCAAAAAGTTTGTTACCTACATATGTACAAAAAAAAGATAGTTATCCAGATGTGAACATATCGAAAAGTTAATTACCTTGATAAGTCATATTCCCTAATAATAATTATATCTCTTTGTAAATTGTTTTTTGAACACATACCCTTTGTCTATTCTCTCTCTCTCTCTCTCTCTCTCTCTCTCTCTCTCTCTCTTTCTATATATATATATATATATATATATATATATATATATATATATATATAACGAAAAGGGAATATATATTACAACCTCACCTAAACATAGGTAGTAAACCTCTTGAAAATACATTGTTTTACTATATAAAGATTACAGTTAATGGCTTCACGATTAATACTTCAAAATGTAAATTCAAGATCGACACAATAACGTTTAGGGTTTAGAGTTTAGTGTTTAGGTTTATGTTTTGGGTTTAGGGTTTAGGGTTAGGGTTTAGGGTTAAGGTTTAGGGTTTAGGGTTTGGGGTTAGGGTTTAGTGTTTAGATTTATGGTTTAGGGTTTAGCTTTAGTGTTTAGGGTTTAAATTTAGGGTTTAGGTTTATGTTTAGGGTTTAGTAATGTTCAATTGGATGAAGTAATAAATGATAATTGAGGAAAGAAAACGGAGATGATAAAATGATAATGGAAGAAAGAAATGTTATGGAGAATGATATATTTACCAAGTGAAACCAAACAGCGTATATTTAGCATGTTAAAACGATATATTTTAGAGGTTTAGTACCTAAGCTTAGGTGGAGTTGTAATGTATATTCCCTATCCCCATATATATATATATATATATATATATATATATATATATATATATATATATATATATATATATATATATAAACTTTCGGAAAAATCCTAATATTTCACCCTAATCTACGAAACAATCCCAAACTAAAATTTATTTATGAAAAAAAGTTCCGATTACCGGAAAAAATGACGATTTGACCATTTTTCCAGTTTCTCGGTTTCGATACTTACCCGATTTCATTAAAGTCTTATTATTTTATCATAATTTTCATTAAAATCTCATTATTTTACCATGATTTGGGACTTATTCGTAAATTATGGTAAAATCATGAAACTTTATTAAAATCGGGTAAGTAATGAAACCGGTAAAGCAGGAAAATAGGGCCAAATCGTCATTTTTACCGGTATTTGGGATTTTTTCGTAAATTAGGGTAAAATATTAGGACTTTTCTGGAGATTTTCATATATATATATATATATATATATATATATATATATATATATATATATATATATATATATATATATATATATAAACTGTATAAGACCTGTGTACTACACGGGTGTAGGAAAAATATTACGAAAGCAAACAATAAAACAGAAAAAATGAAGCATGTGTTTAACACATTATCCTTAATAAACATATTCATAATGTTTCGGTTTCTTCAATAATTATTTAAGCATTGATAGCCTTGTTAGTAATGCCAAAAATCAGATCAAGATCAATATCAAAAGTATGCATTTGCTCAGATTCAACATTTGATTTAGCACTAATTGATTTTTGAATTAATGAATGTTCAACTCTCTTGACATAATGATCATCAAATGTGAGATTGAAAGTTTCTTCTAGCTTACTTGTTTGCTTGTTCAACACCCTATAGGCTACCAAATTTTGAGAATATCCCATAAAAATTTCCTCATCAACTGTTTCCAAAAATTTGGAAAGATTATCGTTGAGATTAATGATGAAACATCTGCATCCAAAAAAATAGAAAAACTTAACATCAGGTTTCCTTTTTTTTTTTTTTTTTAATTTCATAAGGTGTTATGTTAAAACACGATGAATGAAAGAACGATTTTGTTTAAAGCAAACAGTCAAAACCACCTCTGCCCAAAAGTATTATGGAAAGTTCACATAAGTGGGCATCGTTCTCACCGCTTCACACAAGGAACGGTTTCTCCTTTCGATAACACCATTTTGTTGCGGTGTGAATGGAGACGAAAAATCAAAAGAAATGCCCAGTTCAGTAAAAAATTAATCTAAAATTAGATTTTTGAACGGCGTTCCATTATCACTCTTTATCTTTTGAACTTTCCTTTTTAAGCTCAATTTAATGTTCTTGATAAAATCAATTATCACTTGAGCAGTTTCAAACTTTTGTTGAAGAAAGAAAGCCTAAGTAAACCTTGAAAATCATCAACAATAACTAGTATGTACTTTTTCTTATTAACAGACTCAACAGTCGAAGGTCCACTCAAGTCAGTGTGAAGAAGTTCTAATGGTTCAATGATTTTTAAATCAATTATGATTAGATGACCCTGACAATGTTGTTTTCCCTGTTCATATGCAACACATAACGAATCATTATCAAATTTCAAAACAGGTAAACCACGAACAAGGTCATTAAGAACAAGGTTGTGTAGAATTTTGAAGTTGAGATGAGAAAGACATATATGCCATAACCAACTGAGATCCAAAGATGCTTTCGATAACAAACACACTATGGGAATACCCACAATTGGTTTCAT